GAACTGATACAAAAACCTTGAGCACGCCCCAATGAAGTTGGACCGAACACTGAAAAGCATGACATGTCAGCAATGTGCCAAGAAACTTTTTGAAGGGAGTGAGGCTTGATTGACATCCAACAAGTATCGGATTTTCGATTCCTCCAAATAAACATGTATCCATTTCACCGTGAAACGAATCTATGTGGGAACCGCAGTTTGCTAGATATATTTATCAATGGATGGCGGATGATTTGTTCCGCTTGGTCTTCAGAAAGGAGACTCCTTCCAAGAGCTCTCTTTTCCGCAGTTGAAAACAAGAGGGTAGTGGTTTCACGGTCTTTTTTCTTGTGGGGACCTGTCACGAAGCTGGAGCCCAAGGTTTTGGCTTTGGCAACGGAGTGTTGGTCCACTTGGAGGTTGGACACCTCCCTGAGGTTTGCAAAGGCAGCCTTACATCAGAGGCTGAAGAATCAGTGGTGAAAGAGCTTGTGTGAGTTCAAGCCGCAAGCGGACGCATATTATACGTGAAACTGGTGTTGGAGATCGTCTGAGGTCAGATTTCAAGATTGTCACTGAAAGTCATTTGTTAAGAAAGAAACTGCACATTCGAAGGCAACACTTATTGTTGGTTTTGTGGCAACTGCAGCCATTGCCGTTGCAGCTGTTGTTGCCATTGCCGCTGTGGCCGCTGCTGGTTCCTTGCTTGAACACCAGTGGTGATCAGGTGTTCAAGCATGTATCCATGGTCTGACTGTAGCAGAGAACAGGAAAGAAGAGTTCTTCAGGAAGAACAGAATACATTGAATACATCATTACATTTTGATTAATGATAGTTCTTTTTACATGCAAAAACACATCCATTCTACATGGGACGAAAGAAGAGTTGCTTTTGCCACCGATCTTCTCCACTGGCACGGTCGAATCACCGACCCCCATTGGTCGTCTCATCGGGGAGCTCCACATGTTCCGAAAATCCCAACATCCAATATGTGGACCAGAGACTTCCTCCAAAATCTATTAAAATGTGAGGAGAGAGATAGACGGTTTCTAAATAGAATTATGGCAACAACATCTTTTTTCTCGAAGAATGATCCAAGGAATCTTCCCAAAAAGCATTCCACAGGTCCGGTCTGCGGGGATTCCTAAACTAGGTGGCCGCGAAGCTTGGGGGATTCGGGTTCTCTTGTGTTTTGATTTTGACACGTGGCTTGACCACTGCCAAAGTATCGATTTGGACAATTCCTGGTGAATTTTTTCCGGCACAGGTCGGAAAGTAGTGCTCCCTATGAGACAGTTTCGCTCCTGGCACCTTGCTCTTTTCCACCAGTTTTCGGTGCCCGTTGTGCGCTCAAACATGTGCGCCATATTCAGGAGACAGCTCATCTTCTGTGACACTGGTCCGGGCTTTCATGTCTTTGTGAGTCATTTGAGCACTGATTAAGAACAGCTCCACCCAAAAGAACGTTGGAGGCTTATATATATATATATACGTGGAGCATGCGGATTCGGATTCGCATTGGTCCAGCAAGTTTAGCACCACGGTACAATTGAGCATGACTCAATTGAAAAGCAGGTCACATGAGGGGGGCACTCGAATGCCAAAACTTGAGACTAGCACATCGACATGAGAAGCCTGCGGCAGGTGACGCGAGAAGCCAGAATGGGCAAAACAGCCCGTCCAAGCTGTTTCTCAAAGGGAACTCTTTTTCTCATGGAGAACCTGAATCTTGCCAGCCAAGACGGATGAACTAGACCTGTGAGAGAAAGAAGGGGCTCCCTAAGTAGGGAGCCGGAAACCGTCTCGCGATCGAACAGATGCTCAACATGACCCCAACAGCGGAAGATGGAAAGACTGGTCCGGAGAGTCGGAGGTTTGGACCGGAGAGTCAGTTCCGTAGTGTAGGGCGTTCGGAGCTCGCTCCAGCTCCGAGCTGGGCCCAACGGCGGTGTTTGGAGAAGACCCCCTTTTGGCGGGTTTCAACTCTTCCGTCTCGATAAGCGGAACCATTTCATGCCAGAACTGGTGGCTGCTTGGTTATTTGGGAGAAAGAAGGGGGACTCTTCAGTCTTCTACAGCACCGCGGATACCACCGTTCACCCGGGTAAATCGCTTGGAGGTTAGGCAAGAAGACTCGTTCATCGCCGATGTGTGCCGATGTGCTGCCATCTCAAAATGACAGGGATCGCTTGTCAACCACACTCCAGGAGAAATAGGTTAGATTTAGGCCCCAAAAGCTTGATCTCACTTTCTACACTATGAACTCCTGTGACAGCCACTTCCCACGACTGGCAAACAACACGCCTTGGGAGGCCTCGAATCACCGTGCACGTGCCGGCATGAGGATGATTCGCGAGGAGTGCAAGAGAGAGAGAGAGAGCTTTGATGAGCGTGTCCTTGACAGTGGTCCCCAAGTATAAAGGCGGGTGGTGGTGGGGGTTTGCTCTAAGAAAGGATCCGTGCCTAGCTTGCAGAACAACTCCTCTTGATCCTTCACATCCATTTCACAGCTGAAGTGCCTTCTGTGTCCTTTGTTCGTGCAAATGGAGTATGGTGGTGATCACAATCCAGATTAGATCAGGCACAAAGCAGGTCCGGCCCCAAAGCACCAGGTCTGGACGCAGGTTGTTCGTCCTAAGGAAGCTGAACAAATGATCAAAGATGCAGTTGTGTAACCACCTGGTTCATCAGTTTCACCAAACTTGAGGCCGCAAGGTCATGAGGAAAGCCTCCCAACAGGTCAGTTGTTGGGACTGGATTTGACCAGGTCACGAGCAGTGTAGAACTAACTAGACAAAGATGTTTTTTCTGGGCATTGGATTACTCTGTTAACATCCAGACTTGCGGCCCCGTCTTGGGGCGTGATCTGTACCTATCCACCAAATGTTCTGGTCTCAAGTGGTCATACACCCAGGTTTGTGGTATGATGACATGTGGAACAATGGCCCCTCTTGCTTGGGACCGATCCGTTGACGTACCACCATGTGGGAAGTACTTGTGCCTCATTTCCTTAATCTCTTTCCACCTGTGACATGTCAGGACCATCGGCCCTTCTATCTCCTGGCCGTCCAGGCGCTGTGCGCAGCCTCTGCGCACCGCACCTCGGTTCCGGTCGTTTTGGGCATGTCCAGCCAGGAACGGGTCGGTTTGGGTCGGTTTGGTCTGATTTTCGGCCAGCCAGATGGGTTGGAGGAATACCCCCGCTTGGTTTGGACTCATTGGCCTTTTGCGGTTTGGTGTGCCATTTTCCGCCACAGCCCACATGCCAGGAATGGACGGCGCGGATGTGCCCGACCAGCGGTGAGGACAACACAGCGAAGGGCCACGCGAAAGCAGCGCTGGGCCACCCAACATGAGTCGGAGAAGCGAACTAACAGAGCGACTTGCGGTGGTTCTTGATGCAACCAGCTTGAACACATTTGAGACCTTGGTTGGGAGATCGTCCGGAACAACCTTTGCTCATGGGTGGCAAAACCACCCATGAGTCACGTCAATGTATTTGTTTGGAGGGCCAAGTGCTTGCGGCTTGTGCCTTAAATATATTTCTCTCTCTCTCTCTCTCTTTCTGTCCAGCAAAGGTGGAAGTGGACAGTCTGAATTTCAGACCCCTTTCCTCTAGCTTGCCACGAGAAGAGGTGATGCACAGGACATAAACTTGTGGACTTGAAGAAGAAACATAACATACAACATTACGAAAAACAAGTCAAAAGGTAAACACATGAAGAATGTGCAACTTTTTTATTTGTCTTTTTTATCTACATATTTTCTCTTTTGCGTTGCTTGTGAAGTTGAACATTTGTCGTTGCGCAGTACTGCTCCTGCGGCCGCTCCACCCCTCCCAGGCCGTTGATTTGCATCCCATCGAGACATCCGCTCTTCTTCACATGGGTCCGGGACCTGGGTTTGGACATCTTGTTTTTGGGACACCTGGGAAACAAGAGATTTGGACACCTGCCGCTTTTCGGGATGCACTCAGTCGGGGCAAGATGCTTCACATCTTCAGTCGGCCCCAGCTGGATACTCTCTTTGGACGTAACCTCGAGTGGTACCACCATGGTGCTTGCTTACCACTGGGTGGACCCTTCTCAGTGCTCCGGACTCCGAACCCGCTGGGACGTCCCGAAACGGCCTGAAACGGGTGGTCGAACGTCCTGAGACATGGCCATTCCGGTGGTCGTTCCGCGCTGGCAAGTGGTCATGAAAACAGCGAAGGGCTGTCCACTTGGTTCCAATTGACTTGCTTTGGGGATAAGAGCTTGTCCTGCTTCGCGAAGCAGGATTGTGGATCAAGACCAGAATGACAATGAGGAGCCTTCGCGAACTCCACTAGCAAAGAACTTCAAGCACCATCCTTTAAACTTTAAACTTAGAATTGAATCTACACTCAGACTGAGATTGATTATGACTCCACAGATACGGATACTAAACAAAACTTTAAACGGCGATTGCACAGTAACCTGAACGTATCAAGGCGCACGCGCACAGTACCTTGGGAGACAGCTTGCTATCCGACTATCCGACTTGTAGAGAAGACCATGTGTGATTGCTATCCGACTAGCCAGTGATTCCTTTAGATCCATATAATGCAATAAAATATAGTACAATATATTACAACTGTGTAATCAGAGACAAATAGGACAGATTTGAAGCTGCTACATCGGGACTATTTCCCTGCAAATTCCGCGCAACGATGATGGCTGCGGCAACAGATGAAGCAAATACCGCATCGAGCAAGGACAGGGTGGCCCGCGAAGCATGATGTGAGTCGCCGGGACAAACTCCAGAGGAAAGGAACCATCAAAACCGCTGCGAAGGGAGCGAATTCGAGCGAAGGTCCAACGGTTCAGACTTGGTCGCCAGCTCCGATTCACTCATGACACGGGGCGTGCCTCCTCTATGCCAAACAAGGACGCCATTTCTCCCAAGCACCCCAACTGCTTGGGAGTCCTCCCATGATTTTGATGGGTCCGTCGCGTCCGTCGCGTCCGTGAGATCCGACCTCTGAAGACCTGATCGCAGGATGCCGACTTTGACCGGTTGTTTGGAGAGCTGCGAGAGCCCTGGCGGGACAGGGAGCGAGGTGGGAAGGGTTGGGAATGAAGGGGTTGGGAGGTGGACCCCAACAGAAACTTCGGGAATTGGGAAGCTGCTTCAGGGTTTTCTTGCGGTGTCTTCTAGTTATTGCTGCTTTCCGGCCATATTCAAAAGAAGATAGATCATCTTCGCCAAGGTCTGTACGTTTAAAGCCCTCCTGGTTCGAACCAGGATTCTTACGAGGTGTTCTAGAGAAGTCCTGCCTAGAATCTGCTTGCGTCGTCTGAGGAAAGCTTGGGGGATGAGAACTTCCGGAACTTCCTCGTGGCCTTGCGCGGTGGAAAGCCCAAGACGGTGAAGTACCATCCGGACACTTGGCGGAAAAGACCGACGTGGAGGACTTGTGGGGAGGGGTGGGTCTCTTTTGGTCTCAAAAGAAGAGTATTAAATGAGCATCTAAAGGGATGAGGGAGACCACATAGCCCTAAAGCAGTTTCTAACTGGACAACGGGTGGCCCTGAAAGCATGAGGGGCAGTGTAAGTGGTGAGCGACACATGCAAGATACTGTATTTGTTTGAGTAACAGACGCTGCAAGGAGATATAAAGCTAAAGATCCCTTGACAAGATAACCACCCCAAAGACTACTCACGTCAGAACGCTCTTCTGCACGACCAAACGAACAACAGACCCTAGGCAACTCGTGGGCTGGAATCTCCAGAAATACACTGCATTCATGGGTTCCGGTGTGCCTCTATGGCAGAAAGGCATGGCCGCAAAAGCGTTGACTCTTGATGTGCTTCTGTTTTCTCCAAACCGGTGGTGTCGACTGTCGACACGTGAAAACCATGGTGGTCTGAAGTTTTTGGTTGTCAGACCGTGTACTTCTTCCACGTTCTGCGCTTCAGAACCAGGAGAAGTGCCTCCATGCAGAGCTCTTTGACGCCTCGAACTGGAGCCGTTGGCTGGATCCACGGCTGTCGAAGGTCCTGGAGGAATGGCACCGGACAGGTGACCTCAAGCAGGCGAGGGGAGTCTGCAGCTTTGAGGAGAGTCCCAGGTGTGTGCAAGGGGAGTCCCCAATTTGAGGATTTGTGGATTGGTATGTGGTGTAGCTGGGATGTGATGGATGATGGATGGAAGGAAAGGAGAAGTCTTTTTTTTCCCTCCATACGAGATGGGCGATGGAAGGTCAACTTGGAAGCCGGCCGGAAAAAAACACAACTCACATGGGATGGAAGAGATCTTAAGGGATCGGGTGGGGTGATTGAGAATGCCCAGCATGTACTGTGATTTTATTTCGAATCTTTGGTTGGTTTGGGTGGAATTGTGGGGAGGTCTTCGTTTCTTCGTTTTGTCCTCGGTGGGTTTCTCAGGTGGACCTCGACGCCGCAGCTCTGGACCTTCAAGCCTTAGCACCGGGGATTTTTAGCCACCCAGAGACGAATGAGTAGATGATGTGGATCTCTTGGTGCGTCTTTTGTTGATTTATGTACCAGGAGTCACAAAGGGGTGGTGTGTAGTCCCCAAGTGGGTGGGTAGTGGGCACCCCTATCCTCCAATAGGCACCCCTTTGTATGTTGATTTTGGTGTATATTACCCATCATTTGTTGGATGGTTTCAGCAGTTTTACCCAGGGCGTCGTGCACAGGAACCTTTGGTGTTCTGAGAAATTCTCCCAGCAATGAAGTTGAAGGGTAGATTTTCATTATATGTGTTATTCTTTGTAAGGTCAGGGGGTTCAGTGGATCAGTACTATATAACCGCAGTTTCTCCGACCCTTAAACCCTGAAATGCGTCTTCCGAAGAGCAGCTTGGGTGCTTCGATGTTCGCTCAACCGCGGAACCTCGCTTCGTCCGAGGCTTTCCATGTTTCACGGCGGACTTCTGCCGGAAGATCTTGGAAGAGGTCAAGAACTACCAACGGAGCGGCCTTCCGGAACGGCCCCCTAACAGCATGAACAACCAGGGCTTGGTGCTCAATGAGATAGGGCTTCTGCCACTCTTTGATGAGCTCCTATCAAAAGTCTTGTCACCTCTGGCCGCACGGCTCTTCGGTGATGACAATGACCGATTGCTGTCCTTAAAGGGTCAAAAGACCATTGGGAACTGGGGCGGCTCACACTTGGACAAGCATCATACCTTCGTGGTGCAGTATTCGGCGAAAGATGACACACATCTGGACATGCACATCGATGAGTGTGACATCACCTTCAACATTGGCCTCTCAGAGACTCGATGACCATGGGGCGAGCAAAGATTAAAGACGAGTCATACTGGCCAAATGGGGCAGAAAAAGGACACGAATCCAATTCCGCTCGTTTCAGGGATCCTAATTGGCCACGCAAGGGACCTGTGCAAGTGCAAGACATGTGGTCATGTGGGATCTAAATCTCGAACCTTTCACCAAGAAAGGTTTGTCAGTACTCAGTACTCCACTTCTTCCAATGGTCCTCTTTCCTGCGGTGGTCCCCTTCCAACCCCGCGACCGCCGGCAGCGAACCTTCGGGCCATTGCGACGTTCGTGGACCTGCCGGCGCCCGAAGAAGCCTCCCAGGAGAGCGAGACCTTCCAGGGAAATCAGCTGGTCTTCTGCGGCCTCTATGATGCCGACGACCACCGGAAGCACCAGTTGACCTATCGCCACGTCCTGGGGCAATGTGTGGTCCACTGCGGGAAGCAACGGCATGGTGCTGTCGACATCGAAGAAGGGGAGAGAGTTCCTGGTCCTTCGCCAGTTCGTGGCATGTACACCGCTCCGAAAAATCCCTTGAGAGTTGAAGACAAGAGGCTTCTCTTTCCCTCAAACAAATAGAACATGCAAGGTTTATGTTTCTAGTTCCATCCTGTTCCACTTTTCTTGGCGCTGGAGGAGGTGGTGTTTTGGGGGACAGTCTCAGAGACTAGGCACTTTTGATGGTCAGTTTCTGGCCGCCTTGGAAGAGGGCAACCTGAAGAACCGACAGGTTCAACCATTTTTCTTCTATGCATTTGAGGACAATCATGAGAATTGCTTCGATTGCTCTTTTCTTCCCCTCGCCCACCCGAATGCTTGAAGGGCGACATGGGACAAAACGGAGTTCTCCATGCGTCTCAAATCACTGGGTAGGTTGGGAGCAGATGTTCGTTCATTGGGAACCCTTGCCGTCTGATTTCCATTGCCGTCTGGCCATCGGACCTCAAACTCAATGTCATTGAAGACGTTTCAGGTCCAGTGGAGGGCAGGGAGTAGCCTGTTCCTGTACATCTAAGGCTCGACCCTCTGGAAGACGGGGCCCAAGGGCCCAAGACGTCAATTCTTGACCCACCGGGGTTTCATGTGCCACGTGTCGGGAGGACATGATTCAAACGATCACTGTACTGGAATGCCTTTGGTGTCTACTATGGCCAGGCACCAGCCAGTTTTCAGGATCTTGGTTATCATGGAGTAGAGGTGAGGCATCATGTTTGGCTGTAGATTTGCACCTCGAGGCCTCCTTGATCATTTGGACCAAGAGCCACGCATTCCGGCGGAGTGCGGAGTATCGGGCGCTCTACGACCTGGATCGATGGAAGTTGGGGAAGGCCAGGTTGGCAAATTTCCTTTCCACGGATCCCAGAATACCCACTGAGGAATCCGGCGTATCGGCCATTCTTGCACATATTTTAGTCTTTAGAACCAACGCTCACTGGATTTGCTGAGTTTGGTTTAGACATAGGAGATCATCAATCTTGTGTTTTTTTCTCTCTATATCTAACACACTTTCCCTCAATCTGTGTTTTTTTTCCCTGTGCAATGTTATATTGTTTGATGAGTTGTTTTAGGGCCCCCCATGAGTTTGACGGGTGTCTCAGGCTGACCAAATCTGCCTGAGCTACAGCCATGATGATGACTACGAGGAGACCGGAACGTGTTCGGATGGACGTCGGACTCTTGAAACAGCTCACGCACTGCTCGTAGGGATGTCGAAGTGGCGTGAGCTTTTTGCACTCCGGACCCAGAAGTGGCGTGGGTATAGACGGTAGAGTCATAGTCGTGATCACAGCTTCAGAATGAGACTTGCTACTTGCTCACCAGAAACAGTCGATCCGGGAGGAATTCGCTGCGAAACAGGAGTTGATGCCCGATGAGATGAAATTCCAAATGCCTACTCACCTGGCTGAAGCCGCCGGCACGGCGAGTTCCACCGATGCCAGCGGCGTTCCGATCAATCGAAAGCGACGGAGGGAGGACTCTGCCAATGGCGCTGAGCCGAGCCGAGAGTAGCAGCGATGGGAGTCATTGAAACACATGGGTCAACTCAACTCCCATGATTTCGCGCTGTAGTTGTTTTGAGAATCAAATTAGAGAGGTAAACTGCTTTTTATAAGGTCTGGGAGACCCATCTGAATGCCCCATGACCCCATGTGCTGCCATGTGCTGCCATGTGCTGCGAGCATGCAGCGCTTTGGATGGAGTGAAGCCAAACGGGTTGAACATATGTCTGGGCGGAGGGGAAGGGTCCGTTTTGTCACAGGTTTGTCACAGCGGAGACAAAAAGGAGCTTGCATTTTTGCAAAAATCATTTCTTTTCCCTCATGGGCCTGCTTTGGAGATCCAGACAGGGTGGGCCGCCGGATTTCCCTGGCCTCTCCAGAGACTGAATAAATTTCTCACTGAGAAACTGGATGATAAGCCGTCAGATCATCGTTTCGCAAACGGGCGAAATGGTTAGACAATCAAAGCCGGTGGATTGAACGCACCTGTTCCTTGACCATTCTTTCACACATGGCCAGATGCGTGGAGGATCGGAGAGAATCAGCACATGAGTAGTTCATTAAGCCACCGCAGCATAGTTCATCTTGGTGGTTGCCTCTGGTGAAACATGGCAAGTCCTTGGTCCAGTCAAGAAATCCATGCGGCGGCCAGTAGGTCATATCACGCCACCCCTCTAAAGAACACGTCACCTGGAGTTGATGGGAGGAAACCATCGTCTTTCCAGTGGTCAGGAGGACGGCCAACTTGGGCTGGGGCGAAACAGCGTGAAACACATGCCTAGGTTGAGGACCCTGTGGGTGAGGCGGGGAGGGTTCAGTGGGAGGCGGGCAGGCAGCGCAGAGATTTCAGAGGTTGGGTATTTGGAGAGCTCGAACTATGGTCAAAGGACATGCGCAGGTTTTTTCTGACATGTTGTAAGGATATTGAAGCTATTTCCATTCAACAGGTTGCATGTTAAGTCGCCCAGCAAGTGTCACCTGCGGCGGCATCCTGGAAGCAGTCGCCTAACCGTGCGAGAAGGTGTCTTCTCCAGTATTGGTCTGTGCGTCAAGAGATGCAGCTGTGGGGGCAGCCTATGCTGCAAGCAATGCTTCGTTCGACTCAAAAAGACTATTGGTGCAAGGAAGCATCCCTTGTTGATTGAATTTCAAGAATCAGAATCACTCCAACACTTACTTCGCCGCAATATACTCCAGTGTGGGCCACTAGCGACACGGCATCCAACTGCGAGCCGTTTTGGCAGATCAGCGGATCCGGGTTTGGACCATGAAAGTCTCCATATGCCATTGGAAGCGATCTGGGGCGAAACGAACCGAAACGAACGAAGCAAATGGAAAGCCGTTGGCCCAAGAAGCAAATTCTAGTCAAGCTGTTCTGCAGTATATGATGTAACAATGTGTTCTGGAGAATTTTCTTCGCTGTTACACAGTGATGGGAGGTGCCGTTGCTTGCGTCAATATGGACAATGCGACATTCCACCTGTGAGGGAGGGAATGTGCTACACCCAAGTTTCTGCGGGAGGTTATCATTCAGTGCTTCTGCAAAGTGATGGAAATGCCGTTGCTTGCGGATTGAACAGACATGGGCAATGCAACAGTCCGCCCGTTGAAACCTCCGGCGGTTGCTACCTTTTTGAGTTTGGCAAAGACTACATTCTGCAAGTGGACATCACCTTCAAAGATGATGCAGTGGTGCTTACATGCTTGGATTTGGCCGGGAGGTCTTGTGCGTTTTCGGGCAGTCTGACCTGGACGACGGGAGACGCACCAACGCATTGCACGTGACTTGCAAGTTAGCCCAAATCTTCGATTGCTCGTTCCTGACGGACAGTTCAGTTGTTGGCCTCGATATGCGGGGCAACTCCATTGGCCACCATCTCGGATTTGGGTTGAGCCCACCATCGCGGGCCTCACGGTCTGGCGGGTTCTCGTTCGGCGGGTTCTTCCCTGTTCCCTTGCTGCTCGAGGAATGGGCTCACATCCACCGGATCCAAATGAGGAGACACCTGGACCCTCGCCCTGGATGGGTAGAGTATGGTAGACGGGTCTACTAACTTCCGAAGCGGACTCAGGGGGTCGGAACACCACGCTGAGGGGTCGGTTTCCTAGGCGACACACCCAAATCAACTTGACACTGTGCAAGTTGAGGCCTCCACAGTCTCCACTTGGTCCACGAACATCTCCGAACATCTACACACCTCAGATACACCCTGTTTCCCCAAAGGTATGGGGGTTCCAAACCATTGATTTGTAGGTGGGCAGGTTGTTTTGCTGATCTTTCGACCTGTATGTTTTCATGTCTTTTATTTTTGATGTGGCCCGATGCATAGTCTGGATGGTCCCCCCAACTGTTTATCACTTTTTGGTACCGTCCTTCCTTGAACCGTCCTGAGTTTCTTAGTACACTTCAAGGATCTTCCATGTCCATCCGGCAGTGCCGAAAAAGAGACGTTTGCCAGTCCAGTGCCATGTCCCGAGTCGCGAAGTCGCTTCGTGAAGTCACCAGTCCTTCAGCCCCATGTGCCACCCCTTTCAGCCTCGAGCCGGGTCGAAAAGGTGGCAATGAACCACATCCAGGCCATTCCAGCCCCATCCCACAGATCAAAGAAAACACCGATGGGCCAGCCAAGATCAGCGAAGATCGGCCATATTCCTCCATGCTCCCCGAAAGGAAAGTACGGATTCCCAGCCAGGTCTGGCTCGTCCTCTCAGAACCTTGCACATCTGGGTCCTCCGAGCCTGGCCCTGGGTCCCACAGGGAGCACCCCGCCCCCTTTTGGTTCAGTTTTTGACCAAGATGTGACCTGAGATCAACCAGGGCTGCACTGGTCGCATGCCGCCAGGTGACCAAATACTACGAGCAGGCCGGGCCGATCGGCGGCGGCGCGACCGTGGCGACCAACCGGTGTCCGGCTCCGTCTTCGTCTTCACCGAGCATCGGCATCGGAGGTTGACCACCTAGTACCATATCACAGCAACTCCGAACATCATCCCATCACATTTAGGGAAGCCAAAGCAAAAGCACAACTGCCGGAGTTTGGTGCAGATCTAAGAAAAGCGATATATGGCTGGACAAGGCTGACCATCTCGCACCTGATGCATGTCGGCTTTGGGTCAACATCGGAAGCTCTGGTTGACCACGGAACATGAACAGAATAGACGAACGACAGGAAGTCAACCCACCGGTGTCCACCGGTCTCCGGGTTTTTAAATCCACTTTGAGAGGCAGGGATGGTGCCGAGTCACGCAGCGGTTGGAGGTTTTTCGGTTTCGCACCTCCCACAGACGAAGTGAAACCGGACATTGAGGCTCTTTGGCGCTTTAAGATGGACGTGGTGGTGTTCCTCACCATGGATATTTTCATCGCGCTGGGCGTCACTTACCGAGCAATGATCGTGTAGGTCCTCGGTGAATCGTAACAAAAAAAACCCTTAGGCGAAACAATAGGATCCGGCAGACTAAGTTTGTCTCCACCATGACTGATGGACTGTGGTGGCCTTTGGTATTTGTCTAGCCCAAGTTCCAACTTAGCCTCTGCAGTTCTATAATGTTTTATATACAATATAACTACTGTAATAACTAATATAATATGTTTGTTGTTTGATAAATTGAAACTGGACTTTCTCTTGTATTCCAGTATATAAAGCTCCCTTACCCCGTTGGCTTCACGCGTGACATCCAAACCCCTGCTGAATACCACTGCTGAAACATGCGGAAGACGCAAGTGGACAGGGGTCTCTGAACTGGGGGATGTCCTCGGTGCCTGGGTCTTCTACGTCGTTCGATCGAGCCTGGTGCACGCATCTTTTTCTCGTTGGCAGAGTCTGGTGGATCCCCGACAGCAAAGCCGATTGATGTGAAGATCCAACAGGTGCACCCAGAAAGTAGGTGCAAACCGCGCAAACCCGGTTCCCCATGATGATCAACGTACGCCACAGATGGGGCGATTCATGAAACATTGGACGGGTGCTCATTCGATTCCGGGAGCGTTATTTTTTTTCCGTCGCCGACGCCGGGCCTCACTGAAGTGGGGTTCGCGCGCGTTGGTCGCGGACGCTCGTCCGCCAACCTCAAGGTCTTGCTGTGCCTCAAGGAGCTGGGCTTCAAGTGAGCGACTGCACAATGGTCGCCGCCGCCGATATGTCGACGTCGGAAAAAGGCCACCGCCGAGGCGGAGCGGATTTTCCTGGAGCGGAGGGCACCCTGGACGCCTGGAGCTCAAAAAGCCTGGTAGGTTGGCTTTGCGGTGATCTACTGTATTATCCTCATTTTCGGTGGGCCACCAGGGTCCTGGTGTTTGACCCACTGCCACATAGTTCCGGAATATAGGTTTTGAGGCCGTTTTCTGATCCTTGTGGCATGCCATCCTTGTAGAGATCGGGAGGAGGCTGAACCGCTCCTGTGACGTTGGTGAGGGGGGAAGAGAGTACACTCAGACTCAAGGACATGGAGCTTGATAACAACTGGTTTGTATAGAAGAAGGTGCTCTTCCCAAGGAATCAAAACAACCGACTGTCAAGTTCTATATTGGTTCTTAGCGGTGTAATAGTGAGTGTAATATACAAGAGCGTGGAGTGGCAGCCATCATTTTCGTTGATGGCAATGGCCCAGATTCTCAGAAGCTCCATTCACCCAGAGTCATACTGAAGCGGAGGTTCGTTGCATGCAAACTGAAAAGCGCCCTTCGTGATGTGGATGTGTTTCATTGCACCCTGTATGGTTCACACACACAATGGATGGTCGGTTGCCCAGGCCCGCCCTCAAATACCATCATGGGATGCTGTAGGCGAATGTCAAGACTTTTGCCGATCCAAACAGTGCGGGAGAGGGAATTGCACCCGTTGAGTCCGTGCCGTGGCCCAAACTGTTCCAGTTCCGTGCTCGAATTCAGAAGGACGCGAGAAGCCAGATTCAGATGCTCCTGGAATCTTGCAAGCGAAGCTATTCATTGTTTAGGGCTAATGTCCAATTTCAAGAAATGGAGGAGAGAGTCTCCAATGACAAGACTCTCACAAAAGTTCAGAACTAGATGGAGATGCTCTTGTTTAGGCTCCCTATGGTTTAGTGATTTAACGGCATCCCAGCTCTTAAGTTAAGCTTTCGGTTCTATGACAAGTGATGTGACATTTCTCGCACACACACACACACAGCTCAGAGGTGATATACTGTGTACAGATGCTCCTGCCATGGTGCCATGGCAAAGAGAAAACGGCAAAGAAAGATCAATGAACTGGGGGACGACGAAGCACAGGTGCTATTGGGTCTGTTCAGGGTTATATAAGAGATTGTCCTTGCAGTGCTGTCTTTTGCTTCTGTGGCTCGGGTTCGTTTCTAAACAAGCTTCTTGCCTCAAATTGATATAGACATATATAGAACAGAAAAGGGGATTAACGTCTAAAGATGGCTTGGAGATCACTGTTTGTAGATTGTGGGCATAGACTTGCAAAGCTCAGACTCTTGTCTATCAATGTGATGAGCCTAGACTTGGCTTCACAGAGCCTCGACTTGGCTCAAAGCTGCACAGTTCGTGCCCAACTGGGAGCCCTGTGCGCTTGGATGAGTGCCTGGCCAAAACCGAACGGAGGAAGTGACTCGTCCAAGGGCTTTGAGCTTTCCTTTTCGCATTGAAACGAAGTCTAAAGGGGTCCCTGCGTTCGAAAAGGTAAAGACACCATGTAGCATAGTCATATAGCATATAGAAAAGGTAAAGACATGTAAAGACACACGTGGTAATATAGTTGTAACTTGGAACCAGCTTTCCCGCTGGCCGCAGTCACTCCTGGCACCTGGTCCTTTCTAAGCGGCCGCTCCTGAGGCCGCTTGCGAGAGCTTTGGCGAAGCGCTTCCGCGGGTTCGCCGAACTCGGCGGTGGCATGTTGGCTCCATTGCGCTGATGAGCTGACGATCGAAGTCTTGGCGCAGTTGGACTATGACGCCTACGTGATGGAAGCTGGGCTTATGATATCTGACGACCGCCGAACTTCAGATGTTCAAAAAGAGAACAAGGTCGTCCCTCGGGGATCCGTTGTCTTAAATGCTTCGCTGAGTGTGGATTCATGGATGTTGAGGGAGGCGCTGAGGGTTTTGGGGGAGGGTATGTGGAGGAGACGCGACCAGGCCGTTGGGAAGCAGCTGACTGACGCGCCCCAGGCCATCATGTTTGTCTAGATTCAGGGTCTAGATCATACGCAAGCTTGAGAGACATCCAGTGACGCCACCGGACATTTTGGGCCAGTCGTATCGTGTGTGATTTTGCCTGGGCTTGAGAAGAACACCCATGGAAGCACCGCCTCAGTACACTCAGTACACATCTCTGGTGTTTGATGATGTGGTTTTCCCCTGCGAAGAAGGTTACTGTAGACTTCTTCGACTGCTTCCGCCCGTCGACCGCCTCGATGCGTCCAGGACCTGCAGCATGGCACCGCCGACGGACTTCAGGCCATCCGTCAGCTCCGGGCGCTGCAGGCCATGTCGTCGTCGGCGGCGTTGGTGCGACTGGCGGAGCTGTCCGCCTCGGAGGTCGGGCGATATTTGGATGCAGGCGGGAGGGGGACGGGAAGGGGAGGGGGAGATTGTGGTGGTAGAGGATGTCCAGGATTGGGAGTTGGGGCCTCTTGAAAGAATGGTAGCAGGAATGGCCGTTCGTGTGGTAGTTCGGTCAAGGAGAGTCATGCATGTGATGTTCCTATGTTGTCAGAGTGGGGAGGGAGCATCACCCCCGATTGCTAGGGTTGGTATGAATGGTGTGTATTTTCTTCCATCAAGAACGCAGATAGAAGTTGGTAGACCAGCCTCTCACAGGAACGTCAACGGTTCTGCACCAGTTGTAGGTTTTTCAAGCATGTTTAACAATGGATGAGAACACGATGGGAGGAAAAAAACAAAGTTTGGCTCCACCTTTCTGGAAGCTAAGTGCAGGATCCATCAGGTGTTTCGAGCCTTGCGAGTGCTAAGCGATGGAGACACTTCCACCTTCCATGGTGTTTTGCGGAGGGCTCTCTCCACCTGTTTGGTGGTTGGATATATCAGGGTCCAAGGGGCCATGGGCATGGCCATGGACACCATGGAGTTGTTTTCTGTTCTTTTTTGTTTTAGGAATGTGTAGAAGCAGGGTTAATACCGGTGGTAGTGTGAAGAGGAGTTCAAAACTGGCAGGTGAAGAAGGTCTTCCATTTGTAGAGATGTTGGAAAGCAACCAATCTCGCTTCCGGTGCGGTGCCCCATCGCTTCTGGCTGTACCCATCAAAGTTTATTGTTTGGTAAGTGATTGCATGTGGAACCCTTCATCCTCCTCTCGTCCGAGGCTTCAGCGGAGTGATCTGCCCCATGGTGACTTGACAAGAGTAGCCCGATCTGTCGACGTGGCTCAAGACGACTCAGATGCAGAGATCCTGGAGCGATGTTGGGCTGATTTGTCCTTTCCGCACTGGCTTTGGATCGTACCCGGATTTTTTCCATGATTGTTCCGCAATGGCCAGTTAGCAGACCTTTGGTCACCTGGTAGCTAGCTGATTGTGCCGCAGACACCCTCTTGTGCTCTTTTGGGGCTCCAGCTGTCCTATCCTCACGAATTCGTGTCAGTTTGGACATTGTTCGTCATACTTCTTGCAGGTTTGACCTGATTCAGCTACTCCTCCTATCCTTTGTGTGGAGGATCTGGAGTGGCAACATCGGAGTGACCACCAACCCGTCGACCCGTCAGGAGTTCCCGGAGGAACCAAAAGGTGAAGCAAATTGGATCGGCAGAGGATCTCCGCAGTTCTTTTTTTCCATCGTACTTCCCTTTGGCCCAACAACCTCAGAAACTGAAACTCTAGCAAGGAACTAGTTTGGTTACGATCGTTTCCCACGGATTCCCTTTTTGGTCATGCCGGCTCGTTCGAATCGGTTCGTTTCACACCACCGCGCGGGTTTTGGGTCATCGATTGGGTTTGGGTCTGAGGTGAACACCAAGGCGCAGGCCGATGCCTTGGTGGCCGCCTGCCGCTATGCTCCCCAGGGCGAGCGTTCCTGGGGGCCGACCCGGGCCATGTTGAAGGAACGAGTCTCCTTGAAAGGTGGGGACCGCTCTGGTTGATAGGTGGCGTTGGTTGAAAGGAATTGATAGGTGGCGGGTGTGATTCCTCACAATCTGCTCACAGTCTGCTCATGAAGTTGTTGGAGACCCTTTGGGTGTTAAGGAAATCTCACAGTTTTGCCCTGTACCCAGAAGAAGTATAAGTGTTGGGAAGCTGATCCTGTGGAACAATATCATTGGTTTTAGGATGTGTGTTGGATCGTTTCGGTGTAAATCTTCCTTTAACAGCTTTTTCCAACATCACCCCCCAGGCTATGCGCAGCAGATGCGGGACCCGCGGACGCGGCCGGTGACGCTGGCGATGATCGAGACTCGGCAGGGCTTGGGGAACTTGCCCGACATCCTCACCTCGGAGGCCGTGGAGTCCGGGAGTCCCCGGCCCAGGGATGGGCCGGCAGTGGGGGGTAGTAGGGTAGTATATCACAAGGTGACAAGGTGCATTGCCTACACAGATACAAGGTGTACCGCTACAGAGATTGGAAGACGAAAGGAGACTGAGAGGACGAAAGACGGAAGGACGAAAGGGATCTCAACACCCACACGGACTGGGTTTGCCCTGAGAAATGTTAATGTGGACTTGGTGGATGCACCATTCTTTGACTGTTGAAGTAATCTGCTAGGGTGGACATGGTTTTCGAGGGTTTGTACCCTCCCCTTAAAGTACCGGAGAAGCTGGCCTCCCAGTAGAGGCCGCCCCGTTTTCATTTTTCTGCAACCATGGCTTCACCGCGTTTGATGCTATGCCACATGGAAAATCCATGCCAGGTCTCCCCCCCCAAAAAAAACACACCACTCCGCGAATTTCTGAGTTCTCCACGCATTTTGCTTGGATGTTCTGTTCGCCAAAGAACCTCTACTCAGCTTCTGGAGGTGGATGGTGTCTTCATCGGCCCGATGGATCTCAGCTGCTCCTTGGATGAGGAAGGCCTGGGCACTGCTGGTCCCAAGACCTCCAAAGCCATCGCGCGCATCAAGGCTTTGGCCCATCGACAGGGCAAGGTGGTGGGTACCCTGGCGGCGAAGAACAAGGTGGTGGGTGGAACAGGAGATCGCATCGGCATCCTCTTAATAGATAGCATTACTTATATATTTAGGCATATTTGGAACTTGCCGAAAAAGCTTTTTTTTTTGTTCAATGTTTTCCCTATTGGTTTTCACATCTGCCATTTGCCATCTACGCCATCCTCCTTGCTTCCCGTTTTGGGAAAGGATTTCAGACAAAAAGACCATCCAATGGGTGATATGAATTCTGGACCTTTCGGACCACTTGTTGTGATCACTGGAAAGAACATCTTCAATTGGTTTCTTCATGTTTCTTCATTTTCCATGATTTTCCATGATCGGTCCACTGTGAGAATCTCCATGAAGAATTAGGACTTCTTGTTCATTCTTCTTCAACATGGGGTCCCATGTGGGAAGAGGGTCGTCTCGACCATCCTTTTCACCAAGGGAATTGGCTTTTCGATGGATTCGGACCCCGACTTGCGAGCGAGGGTGTCCTGAATCACTAGCCTAAGATCTCCAAACCTTTGGCAGCAAAAACTGATTGTGTCATACTATGTCTCTTGTTGGCGGTAAGTGACGAGATAGGCCTAAGTAAGGATTCTCTCCTGAACTCTTTCACTTTTTGACATGCCCAGGTATTTATGTCAGTGATCGCAGCAGCACGGAACACTACATCTCCAAGGGCTTCCAATTCGTGGTGAGTGCTCATGATAAGGTGGCATTGATGGCTGGAGCTATGTCTTCACTCCCCCGCACCTGCCTGCGACGCGACCCGCCAGCGTTCTGGCGGGTACGCACCACACATGCTGGGCTTCTGCCAGTGCCGCAGTGGCTGCAGGTCATCTGGGAGGGGCAGCAAGAACCAGTCGACCATGAGGACTACCAGGAGAGATTGTATGAGGCAGGCTGGGGCAAGCCAACCAAGTTACAGTTCATCGCTTTTGACAGGCCACCTCTCGCGGTCAAGCACGAATACAACCATGTTGCCATGTTCTTCATTGAAGTGGCCGTGCCAGAAACACACCAACAGAGATTGAAGGACCCGATAGACTTGTAGTAGGGTCCTATAAGGTCACTTACCTCTCTTGGTATGACATTCCAAAGTCCAAGTCAGAGACCCCCCATTGTTGCTGACCACTCCATTTTGCATCCTTGCCACGTTTGGGGCCCGTGAATGTCCACGGCTGCGCCGGCGGCTGGGAGGTCACGGTGGAGTTCCTACGGAAGCAACTCGCTCTGGGCCTTGATGAGATCAACGATGGAGGGCTCAGTGGTGGCGATCTGACTCGCTGGGTCAAGAGGCTGAGTGGCTTTGAGGATTGCGTGGTAGGTAGTGGCAGCTAGAGCGTAGGTGGCAGGTGCTATGTGGTGTGCTAATGTGTGCTCAGTGATAGTGTGGTGATGCGAGCGTTCTTTGGTTTCATCAAGAAATTGTTGGACTTTTCTTGGCTGTTGTGAAGAAACTGTTTTCAATGGGACTGTGTCACGTGATCGCCGGATGGACATCCATCCTAAAACAGCCGAGGATTGAATTCTAGCCTTAAGACTCTCCTGAGGCCAAGATGGTCAGCCTCCTTTCCGTCGTGCTCATCAGAAGACTTAAAGACTTAACAGCGCATCACAAGCAGAAGTCCCGAGGGCTCCAACCACATCCTCGGTGAGTTACACCCCCAAAACCTACCCCAAGCACCTTCGAAGGTGCTTGGAGCCCTAGGGAGTGTCACTTGGTCCTTCCGTTTGGACGCCATCCATCCACGCGAGGTGAACCTGTTCACCCCGGTGCACCGACGTCCACGGGAACGGCCAGGACGGACCGGACGGGCCTCGCTGCTGTGGAGCGATCTGCTACCAGGGCGAGGCTCTGAAGATCGAGTTGAAGCGCCTGCAGCGTGCGGCACAAGAGGTGGGCGTTCCACCAGGCACGCAGGAAATCCGTTTTTTTTCTTTTTAACACAGATATAAACAGACATGTTTTTCTTTTTTTTCCATTGATGGTTTTTCCTCCCCAAACAGTTCACTGTTGGGGTTCTCTCTCAGGAAAAAGGGCTGGTCATCACCGCCTTGTTCTCTCTGGATAGCCCTGGCCGCACCGTACACCCTTTCATCACCGCCTTGTCCAGGGCTTGTCCGGTCTGTGTGCCCGGCCGCGCCGTGGGCCCCTGTCGTCTCGCTTTGTCCGGGCCCTGTGACGGTCTGTGTGTCCTGCTTGGCATCGTCGCAGGCCCTGTCTCTCTTCGTCCGGGCGTTGTCCAGGCCTTGTCCGGGCCTGTGTGTCCTGCATTGTACGCGTTGTCGGCCCTCTTATCACATCCGTCAAGTACGGATGTGCTGAGAGAAACTCATGCTGCTTGTGAATCGTGGTGGGTGGCCCCAGTTAAAAGACTGTGTCAAAGACATGACATCCAGGTTTTGGTGTGTTCACTCTTCCCATTGCGCTCCTTTCCCGTGGCTCTGTCTTCACGTCGCGTTCACCAGGCCGAGTCTTCTTCACGTCGCCTGCCCCTGGAACCTTGGCGGATGCCTTCGGCAACGACTTCTACCAGAGTGATGAGGTCTTTGTGAACGCGATCGGTGCTGCCATGGCCAAGGAGTACCAGGCCACGCTTGGGACCTCTGGATGATATCTTAACGGTAGTGTTTGGAGAATAGAATTGGAATCTGAGGATGCCATACACCTGCCAAGTATTTGGTCTCACATGCCTTCTGTAACATGGCTGGTGCTTACCATCCTCTCTCTCTCTCTCTCTCTTTCTGTGTCTCTGTGTCTGTTTCTGTCTCTTTCTCTCACTCCCTCCTGTTGCCCAAGGGCAAGAGACAGACAACAGTAGGTGTTCCTCCGCATTTGTGGCTGGTACTGGAGTGCCTTCGTTAAATGCAACTGGAGCCAATGGAACATATTGATATGTATACATACAACAATACCTGTTATCTACTGTATATATTGAAGCTGAACTTCAGAATGCAGCAGTTGCAGACGAAATATCTTAGACGCCGCAGGTGTGCATGGAAGCCCTTTTTAGTCCCAAGCCAGTGGCAGTGCGATTCTAGCGACACGCAAGCTCCAATCGTGCATCAGCCAATGTTGAAGGTGTCAGTGGTGCTTTATTTAGTTGGCGTTGCTTCGAGCCTCTATTGTGAGAATTGCCGTGGAGTTGTGACTCCATTTTGTGGCTTGTCGTGCACATGCAGCATTTGTACAAAAGGCGATGGGCCAGAAGACTTCAAATCATCGGACTATGGGAACTACAAGTGTAACAAATGCTGGGGCAAAATGACTCCATGGTGTGGCAGGTGGTGCTGGTGCTCGGAATGCGTGAGTGTGGGCCTTGATTCAGTGGATCTCTTCGCATCGCCAGATGCACAGACCTGGATCTATGCACTCACAGTTGCCATTTGCATCTCCTTTGCAGCTTTGCTGGCGCTTTTCCGCAAAGTGTATTGGGACCATCACGGAAACACCTTGGAGTCACCGTTGCTGCACTTGACGCAAGAGGGACAATGATCAGTTGACTGTCTTGAAGCGAGAGGCAGCTCGCCCGTCCAGCAAACAGGTAGTATTTGATTGGGTGTGGGGGTCGGACGGATAAGCAAGCATGCGGTTGGACAAAAATGGTGCCCACATGTTATCCGTTCTCAGTCTGCCACAGCTCAGTTCTCGGTCTGCCCAAGTGACCAAACCGTGAGTTCTGTGCAGGCGATTCATGAGCTGGGCTTCAAGGTGCAGATCGACTGGCTCGCTTCAACCTTGACGGAGGGTGCAGATCGATTGGCTGCCCAACATCAGGTGAGGGGGAAGGTCAACTTTGAAGTTGGAAGGAAGATGAAAGGATCCACACGGATTTCTAATGATTAGACGACCTCTAGAAACTCTAGCTGTAGATGAGCCAGTGGTTTCTTTAGCTTTCAACCTTTTGAACATGTCACATCTCGCTTGACGATTTTCTCGCTTGTGCGAAGAGGGATGAGATGATCCACAGGTGTAGATTAGATTAGATGGATCCACAGGAATCTGCTACATGGAAAGCTGTAAAAGGATCTGGCCTTATCCAAGAATCAACCAGCTATGAACCGACTGAACACCAAGTCAAGGATTCTTGCGAAGGGATGATGCATACATGGATGAGTGGACTTTACATGATTCAGACATATTCAGACAATCTATATCCAATTTACGCATGACAAGTCCTGCGCGACCGTCTTCGCCGTTTTCGCGCCTGTGGGCATCTGTCCGGGCGTCTCCGGAGGGTCCGGCCAGGTCCAGGTGCTCAACGGTGCTCTGCAGGGTCTCGAGGCCGAGCAGCTCCGCCTGCAGCTTCGTTGGGAGGCACCTCCATCGCCCGCGCTGCTGCAGGTGTTACTGGAGGCAGAGGTGAAGTATGTGGCGCTGGAGACGTGTCAGGTGTGGAGTTCGCGTGACGTGTGGACCGAGTATTTTTTTTGGGGGCTCTTACAGAACTGTTGGGTGCCCCACAAAAAGACTTGTTTTCAATGTGTGCAAGGTATTCAAGGAATTTTCATGAATGAATGAGTCTCGATGTGCGGTGCTTTTGGTGCTCAGGTGGAGCGTGCGCCAGAGGAGGAGCTTTGGAAGAAGGTGAAGATTCCAAAAGATAAGGCAGGGGAAGTCATTGGGCACACCAACTAAGGTTTCTGGCGTATGGGCCTATGGTGTAGAGATCGCGGACAGGTTTTGATGCCTCAACTAAACATCATTACTTTTACATCTGCAGGATGGACTGCCGAACACGGGCGCTTGATGGGAATATGGATCTTGATATCAGGGTGATTTCAGGACGGAACGTCGCTGGAGCACACGTCCGCCGGAGCTGGTCCTCGGTCCGGCTCGGTCCTCCGCGGAGCCGCCCCGAGGTCCTCCTGGTGGGAACCATCAATCCCTGCGATCGTCACGTGGAGCACCCGCGACGCATTGCACAACGCCTGGAGACCTTTGCGGAGATCGTCGGATGGGATTCTTGGCCCCTCTTGGGTGGGGTTTGGAGCTCTTTTTGCTCGCTCGGCTCGCTCAACTACCTGATTCGACTCCCAAAGCCCTGGTAAGGGCGACTGAAGGGGTTTTTTAGGCGACTCCAAAGCCGTGCAGTTTTCAGTGGTTTCAGAGAGATTGACTGTCCATCCACCTGAAAAAGACCCTCCCAAATCGGTGGAACCATGGCAAGGTCCTGAGAGCGACCTCACCATGGCACAGGGGCTGCCGTGACCCTCCGGATGTTCGGGATCTTCCAGTGTCAGACGGAAGAAACTCCAACCCACTTTGGGTAAGGGTGAGACCTCTCAAACCTTTTGGGCCTGATTTCATTCCAAACGGGTGGTGTCACGTGTTTATTGGTCGACCTTGATGCAGGTGTTACACTCTGACGAACACATCACATCAACATGTGGATGGCACGGCATAGTGGCATAGTCCCTTGGAAGATATACTTTCTACATAGAAACAGGGGGGTGCCATCCACGTAACCATGTGATGTGTTCGTCAGTTCGTGTAACCCCACAGGACCGCCTCATGGCCAGCACCGATGCCGTTCGCTCCGCTGATCCGGCGCGCGAACTCGCGGGGCTGTTCGAGCGCCTGCAGCCGGTGGTGGCGGGGGCCGCCAGCGTCAGCAACCGTGCCGCACGGGTGGTGACCCAAGAGGAGACCACGTGGGCGTGAAGTGCTCTGAGTGATTGGATGAGCTTAGTGGCTTAGCATTGGTTGTGGCTTTTTGAGATCAAAACAGCTGAAGAAGGCTTTCATTTATGCAGGATAGTTATAGAGGTTGGCAGAAAAGGGTCAAGAGTCATACCTGCTGCAAGAGTTTGGAGGTTGCCAATCCAAAAATGAAAATCGCCCCATGGAAAAGGAAGCGTTTGGGCAAGTATGGCAAACATCTGAACATCCAGCTGATGTCTCTCTGATAGTAAATCCTTCACATTCAGGACCAACACCTTTGTTGCGGGGTCGCTGCTTTCATCAAATTCTCATTTGGTTTTGCATGAACCAAGGGGAGAACCCTACCAAGAGGACATAGGAGCAGGACCACTCGACCGATCCAGCTGCGGGTCTCCAGGAGATGCCTCAGAGACCTGACTGCGAGTGGGCTGGATGCCCCACCTACATGGCGATGGGCATCATCTGCCAGGGAGTTGAACCGGTGTTGTCAGAGCCCTGGGATTAATAGCGATGGCCTCCAGCCTAACAGTGATGGCCTCCAATAGCGATGGCCTCCACCCTAATAGCGATGGCCTCCAACCTTCAGACGATCTTGTTACTTTCTTTATTTTTCTTTCAATTCATCCACCGGAAAGGGGAGCTAGCTGTAGGCCCCCTCGAGCAAGTCCAAGGAGTGCTATGGCTACAGTTTGTCATACATTGAGATGTGCTGTGGAAGCCTCGGCTTACTTTGGGTAGTACGTTTTTGTTTGCCCAAGCCGTATGACCCTTTCGCGAGTCACGTGAGGTTTCTTTTCTTTTTTGTGCTGTAGGTATAAAACCATATCGCTCGACACACAAATGTGTTGGAAGCAATACCATCTGGTACGAGGCCGCTTGGTACACCATGTTTGGGCACTCCACAAGCGACACAAACACACTTCGAACTTGGGTTTTTCAGTTAACGCAAGTGTCTCGGTGAGAAGGAAGGCGATAGAACAGCATGGCGGAAAGTCGGAGACATTTGTAGGTGTTTTAACAACAGTTGTTTCTCTTGACTGCAGTGACGAAGCGGCGCAAATCGGCTGCAAAAGTGGCGGTGGGAAACCTGTTTGTGGGGAAAGTATCATGTGGAATCACCATGAATCAAAAACGTGGAAAAGTAGGGTGACAGCTTGCGAAAAAACCTTCAGCAGGTACGTCCAGAAAGCGTCCTTTCTGGATTTCACGACCGGGCTATCACTGTCTTCGTTGGGCAGTGAGTGATAGCGGTCCACTGCCCCCCTGCCTGTGTGAAAGTGGTAGGGTGAGACCCTTTGTCCAGGGTGGGACACACACACACAACATGTTTCACAAACTGATAATCTCAGCTTCTGGACTTGGTCACATCCATTGCGAGCTGCTTGTGACTAATTATCTCCGCAGAGCCTCCACGAAAACTGGACGTCCAGTTGGAGAGGCCCTCTGTTCCGTTTCACCCTGATAGAACCATCCAAACTCTCGCAACAAGACCATCCAAAGTCTCAGCATCCACTCACCACCATCGTATCTACCTATTTCTGTGCGTTTCATTGGTCACGTCCCGACCCAAAAACGTCCTCACCTTCTTTAACCTACCGGCGGTTCGCCGCCGTCGCCTGCCGTGGAGAGAAATGCGACGCACCTGCGCCTTCAAGTTGTCTCCAGGATTCACGGTGGCTGTAGAGGATGGCCTCGGCGAGATTCTGATGCCTTTGGATGTGCCGTGCCGAGTGGTCTATGGAGAGCTTGAGACATCGCTGGAGGTGGGAGAGGCCATGGCCCTGCCGCGAGGCGTCTCAGGGCGAGCGATATGAGCGCGTTTGTGCGCGAGCGCGAAGCGAAGAGTGCCTTTTTGTCGGTGTGGGGAGAAGCCAAGAGAGGTTGAGTGACCTGGTACCCTGTAGTGGCAAACATGGGATAGGCATGGATAGGCTAGGTTGTTCAACCTCATCAGGAGTCTTTTGAGGTGTTTCTTCAACCAGTTCGGAGGACCATGGGAACCACAATTTCCCGAGGAAAGGCTGAAAGCTAGCAAGCTAGCAGCCAAAGGCGGTTCTTACTTGTCTCCCTATTTTAAGAGTTATATACACTCCCTGAAACAATCATGGAAGTGGAAAATTGTCCGGTGGATGACCATTTTCCTCTACAAACAGGTGGTTTTCTACTTCCATGATTATTTCAGGAAGTGTAGTTGCTATCTGGGGTCCATGGCGGTGTTTCTTTTTGCCCACGGTGTGCTCAGAGTGGTGTTTGTCAGCTGAGTTCTTCTCAATCACAAAGGGGCTAGGGAGAAAACTGGCGCTGGCTTGGCCCTTCTGGCTACAAGGAAGCTGTCAGGGAGAATATATATATATATATATATGCACAGCTTGTCCGAGAGGGAAAGATGCAATCGATAAAACTGCAAATAGTAATCAATGTAAATCACTATAGTTTCGATTTTCTTTGGGGGTCTGTTGGGGAGATCCATTGTACCAAGAGTTCTTAGATTTGCTTCAGAATCAGGACATAAAAGGCGAGAATATCAGGCATATGTCTCATCATTGAGGGCGGCATTTTCACTTAACACTTCATTCATTATCGTTTTTCTTTTTGTGAACTACTGACGTAGATTGTCGGCATTTATGCGCGTCGAAGTCTCGACAAGATGCAATGTGTAAGCTCTCACGTGTTAACAGCCGTGTCTTGGCACCAGCAATTCGACCGCTTGACCTACGTCGGACTCGCGGTCGGTCGGTCGCTCGCGGGCTCCAGGTGGGTCACGACCTTCGGGCTCCAGGTGGGTCAACCTCCCCATCCTGGGATCCCAGGAGCTCATCGGAGCTCATCGGAGCTCATACTCCCCATGCAGGCGTCGTGACCCACTCGGTGGCCGTGGACCAACCCAGCGTGCAGATCCTACGGATGAGTGCTGGGCGGTCCATGTGCCGCAGCTGGAGGGTAGAGAGGTGGTGGAGGGCCGAAACTCCACATCGCTAGAAGAGCACTTCCATGGTACGCCATATCTCCATGGTATTCTCTACGTGGGTTCCCGATTGACACGCTTGAAGCTCACACATGTTGACTGACCTCCAAATTCAGCATCTCACATGCCGAAAACAATCGTGCAATTGCCGCCCATCTAGTTTCAGGTCCTGGATGGCATTGTTGATTCTGCCACACAAAATCAAACCTTCCCAGTGCTCTGTGGACGAACCGCATCCATCAGGACGAATGGACGAAGCAGCGATTCCGAAGTCAGAATGCTGAAATATGGCGATGCTGCACAGCGAAGCTCGCTGCAAGATGGCCTTTCTTTCTGATCTTGTTGGTTCAACAACGATAACAACACCTAGGACCTAGGACGCGCCCCGCGAGTGAGTTGTTTCCCCGTCAGCTGTGAAGCAACTCCGCCCCTGGGGTCACACCATGGCCAGCTGAAGTCGCATCAGCTGAAGTCGCATTAGAAACATCACTGGTGATCCGATGTGAAGAGAACTTATCACTGAACCGAACATCAGAACTTATCACTCAAGTGCTTGGAATCACTTCCCAAATGTGACAGATCACCTCTTTTGCACGGTCTGTCACCATCACCTCAAGCGAAATCATGAGCCACAAATCCTCATCCAACACCACAGCTCCTCATCCACAGATCGCCCAAAAGGGTTCTGAACATGACGAGAGACACCTTGGAAACATGTTTCATAGTGTTTCGATCTCAGCATGCTCACGCATTTGGCTCCAGCTATTCAAAGAAGTATAGCTCCATGTTAACACTCATGCGCCACCCTCATGCGCCACCTCACATGCCCGAGCGCGGAGGTGGACCAGCTGCTGGGTCGGGAGCGACTTCCGACGGACCGAGCCATTGAGCTCCATGAGACGGTGCCCCCAGCGAAGTGGTGCATCACATTCGTTGATCTCAAGTTCTTCCAGTCTGAGGTCCAGAGAGCTCTACGAGCTCAAACCTTTCCAGAGACTGATTCAGAACATGGACCAAGTATCTATGCAGTCAATGAACACTACATCATGCCAGTCACAGCGGCTGCTGGCAAAATGAGCTGGGCGTTGATGAGGAATCCGCGCGGGCTTGACTGCGATTTGTTTATTTCACATGCTTGGCAGGAAGGTGTTTTTGAGTTCACCCGCAAGGTGATTGCATCATGGCCCTGGCTTGCACGTCATGCTTGGTGCTGCATGCTCGCAAACCCGCAGCATTTGGATATTGGTGCCTTGCTTCAGTCTCCATCGTCGTCCCCTTTTGCACTGGCTCTGCAGACCTCCAAGTACATGCTGGTTGTGCCCAACCAGCACAGAAGCGTCTATACGAGATTGTGGTGTGGATATGAAGCCTACATTGCATTCCAAAGCAACAAGATCATTCAAACAGCAACGCCTCGTGTGTGGGACCAAGTATTGTTTTCCTGGTTCTGGATGTTCCCTGCACTCTTCATAGGTCTTGCTGTTGGTGGCGTTTCCAATGCCAGCACAACTCCAATCGATGACTATTTGGTACGTCTCATTACAGTGCTCGCGATTTTAGCCAGCTTGGTCAGCCAAAACTCGGGCCACATCAAGCTCTGCTTGGTTGAGAACCACATCGGCCTAGCAGCCGCCGTTGCCGTAGCTTGCTGTGCCAGTGATATTGCTTTTCCACTCCATCCCGCATCTATGACCCTGGAGCTTGATGCACTCACTCGGGCTGAAATAGTGGCATATTTCCTGCTCTCCGAAGTTGACAGCGTGAATTGGCAAGCAGACCTGGATGCAGAAGCGGAATTGCGGAATGAATTTCAAGGATCACTTCGTCATGCAGCATGCTCAGAGGTGCAAGACGAGGAAAACATCTGGACCGAAATCAGCGACCAACGCGATGAAGTCGACAAGGTCATCCAGGTTCTGCTGAAAGCTGGTATGACATCGGATGCCCTTCGCCATGCATATTTGCAGGGTGTCGAACTCCAACATGCGGGGGTCATTCAGTGGGCGATCCCGGTGCTGGTACTGGGCCCTGGGGTGGCGATGGAATGTTTTCTGATGGGCCACTTTGCCGTTCGGGTCTTTGACACAGACGAGGATGTGACAGGTGTCCTTTGGTATCCAAGGTCCTTGCAGTTTGTATCCCTGTTTGCGAGGCTGAGTCTCTTGACCTTGCTCTTCAGACGTTCCATCGACGAACGATGTTGGATGCTTAATGTCATGGCAAAGACTGTCGCTCCAAGCCTTCTATGCCGTGTGGCGGTTGGGTTTCTGACAAAGGGCCCCCTACTCTCAGCTGCTTGGATTTTGTATTATATTTCTATGCTTGTGGCCTGGCTTTTTGCTGCATTGGGTATTCGCGGTGCATTGAAGCTTCCCTGTGGCAGACTTGTAGCTGACTTCTTCTTGCGTCGGGTCGTGGGCTGCGGGAGCTCTTCCCGCACCAGCGTCGACCCCTTAGACTCTGTTGATGAGGAGTCAGAGTCCGATAGCTCCAGTGAGACCTGAAAAGAAGGCGACCGGGTCGGCGCGGCTCGCTCGGCACGGGCCGGCACGGTCAGAGATTCTTGCAACATCTTTGAAGGTTCCAGGCCAGAGGGTGGCTGATGAGGGTTAGAAAGCTGCCAATCCACCACCAAACCACACCCCCAACCATACCCAAACCACAAAACGTCACATCACCAGTGGTGGAATTGACACCACTGCCACCCAAATTTCTGCTGCCTCTCCGGGTCGGTCGCTGATAGAACTGGAGCCTCATCCCCCAACACCCGGAACTCCGGGTCCGGCGGTCAGCAGAACAGTCAAACAGATGCTATCAAAAGCAAGGCACATCTTTCCTTCATCACGTGAGGTCGGAACTCACTCGTTCTTGGTTGGGATGGATCTTCACGTTTCAGAACCACCTTCTTTTTTTCTCGGGTCCATGTCCTCGACTTAGGGCTCCACTTCGACTCGCCCTATGGCTGGTTGGAACTGGAAATCATCCGCTTGCCGAGCGGACAGCAACTGGAGCTGGACCCCAGAGCGCCTCGGGGGCCTTGTTTAGAGTCGTTTGCGCGTTTGGTGTTGGAGTCAATGAAGTTGAAGGAGTATTTTTGGGAACATCACTGACTTGTTCAGGTCTTTGTGAGGGGAATGGCCATCAAACGAAGAGTGCTTGCTGTTGTCCTGCAGAAATCTTGACATTTCCTTACAGAGTGTGGACATGAAATGATCCGCCGAACAACATGGCTGCTGGCTGCCGAGTAAGCTTTGGAACTTGATTGCTTTACTGCATTGCTATCAAATGACTTAGGGGAATAGGGAAGTGGTTGCTTAGTGTTTTGACCCAGCACTTTGGGATGAGACCCACCCCAGACTGTCCCACGACAGAGTTTCAGAACACCTGGCCCCCCCCCCGCACGACCAGTTGACCTTTCTATTGGTCGAATCAGACTCCAGGGGAGCAAACCACCATCTAGAAGTGGCTCGAAACGATCATGGCATCCCCAACAATCCGCAACAAGGTAACAATCAGAAACACCTGATATCGACACATGAAACAAACATCAACAAAGAACGTGCACATGACATATGAAAGTGCAAACGAACGTGCACGCGTTTTTTGCTTTTTTAGTGCAACAGCAACACAAAGGACACACCCACGTCATCGACCGACGGTGATCGACCAGACGACCGGTCGGCCGTCAGCCTCGACCGTCCATCGAAGTTCCCGAACTAGGTGGACACGGTGGCGGTGACTTTGCGTGGCATGGTGTCCTGCGGTCTCGCCTCGCTGTTGCCGTTGCAGCTGGTTCAACAACCCAGCTTCCTCTTGGCGGCGAAGGACAGCCTCGTGCTGGTGATCAAGTCTTCCTTGCCACATGAGCCCTGGCAACCCGTAAACATCAAGAGACAGGGAAGGTTCTTGCAACAACATGCCTCTGAAGCATCTTGAAGTTTTCGGGCTCGGTTTCGGGGGGCACAGATGTTCAAGCTTTGGAAGTTCAGCCCTTCGTGGCAGATTCTAAGGACTTGGACTATGATTTTTGAGGCACCGGTCGTGGCCGGAAGGGCTCTGCGGAACGGCGAACCTCCGCGTCTTCGTTGCCAGACACCTCAAAGGCCTCCACGAGACCCGGCGGATGATTGGAGTAGACCTGGCGGTTGAAACGCTGGACGCTTGGACTCAGACGGGCCATACCCACCTCCGCAGCATGGCAACGTGGCATAAGTTCTGGACATGCTTAGCAGCTAGCAAGACCGAAGGATGGAGGTCGACTGGATGTGGACTGGAGGACATGGAAGAAATCTGCACCTCTATCAGATCTGAATTTCTGCGACGACCCATGTTCTGACCGGAGCAGATCACAGCGCGTGCGGGGTCACGGGTCAGATTGGAAAGAGTGCAGGCCAGATCGGCTTGGTGCAGCTCGGCGTAATTCCATACCTAGTGACCTAGCAGTCCAATTGCCCAAAACCTTCGACGGGTGGCCGCCGCGGGGGTTTACCCCCGAAGGCCGCAGGGCGGGCTGCGGTCTCACCGCAGCTGTTGGGACTGGGAGCTGGTGTAGTGGCCCCGGGCCATGTCAGATGGGCTATGTCCATCCCTAGAAGCACAAGAATGGAAAAAGAGGCCAAAGCAGGTGTCTTTGTGTGAACTGGGTGTATTGGCATTTCTGAACTTGCCAGACGTGCCCGGCGAGTGAACCTGTTGCTAGGCCAAGCCCAAGGCGGGAGCATCGGAGGTTGGTTGCGACCGTCTCACTGAGAGGAATCAGGATTGTTTTCATTACCAGGCTTTCATCAAGATTCACACCAAAGATCTCAAACAGATTTCAAACAGATTCAAGAAGTAAGGTTGAACATGTATGTGTTCAATTCTGTTATTTGGTCTGCATTCCATTCACGCCCCTTCGGTGTTTCGACCCTGTTTCGACCCGCTTCTTCCCCTTCCTCCCCGAGGCCAAGCGGACGAGGCCTCCCTTCGTCGACGGGCTCGAGCTGCTGCTCCCAGCGTCGTCGGGGGATGGAGTTGGACTCGCAGCGTGCCGGTGGTGCGCAGGGCACGGAACCAAATCCGCCAACGGATGTGAGTAACTGGATGTGAACATGAACTTTGGTTCGGAGTTGGTCCAATCTTAGGGTCAGATCCTCCTTGCCAAAGTTATGATATATATATATATTACTACACATGTACCATAACTTTAGAGGTCCAAGTCAACCTGCACTATGGCACTATGGAACCTGCCAGTTCAATTTCTTTTTCTTGGAGGATTCCTTTCATTTCACGTCCTCATCATGGATCCGCACGGTGGGATCTTTGGGTGTCACCCGTCGTTCGTTTCCCGGACCAAGCAGCGGAACCGACTCAAGCAGCCCAGGTTTGGACCCCATAGATGAATAGATCACCAAGTAGGCAGTTGCCTGGTGTTGAGTTTAGGAACAGGTGGAATCTTACGAAGCACAAGTAGCCCAAAAATACAGTATTTTGTTTCGACATATATATATATATATATCTACCGATCCGGATGATGGCTTGAAGATGCAGAATACATGAGGGAGCTGTAGGATGAGGAATTGGCCAATCGTTGGGGGATTCCATGTGTTTTTTTTTTTAAACCCATTTATCCATTGTTCATCCGACCTGTGCTCTGCTTGAGCTTCGCCGGAGACCTTGAGTTCATGATTGGACCATCCTCCAAGGGATGTCAGCAGATGTGGCCGCAAGGGTTCACCAGGCTGTTCTGGTCCCATGTGTCCCCTAGGATTTTAAACACCAATTGATTTATATAAGATAAGATGATTTAAGGGTTCTTACTGAACAAGCATTGTTTTACTAAGGATATTGGACTAGCTACAAAATGAGATCAGCCATTTGTTAAAATGGTCTTGGAAGGCTATATAGAGTGTCTTTAGTCAGCCAAGCCAGATCACCCTCAAATCTCCACCAAGTCTTTTCAATTCCTCTGCAAAAATTCATCCGCTGAAAGAATCCTTCCCCCAATCCTGTGTTCCCAGGTTTGAAGAGAAGGGCGCCCTGAAAAGCCACAACATTCTCACCCCGCAATCTGAGGTCACTCTAACCAAATAGAGGCTTCAGCCAGTCATTTGGTGGCCCCCCCCGATCTGTCCTGCGGGCGACCACCCCCGCGTGAACGACCACCCCCCTGTTCCGAACGACCTCGCCGCTGAGGCGGAAGGCATGGGCTCCCGACGCGTCGTACGACGGCGCGAAGGCGAGCGAGACCGGTTGACCGGCGGTGGAGGCGGTGGAGCTGGTGAGGGGACCAATGGCATGAGTTGAGTTGTTTTGGGTGAGCAGTTGGGATGGATCCTGCATGGAATTCTGACGGCCCCGTTGCAGCGCCCAAGTATGGCAGAATGCTCCAGTTCCATGTGAGAACAACTTCGAAGGTCTCATGGTCCCATAGTTCTGGCCAACTAGCTACATGGCACCCCCAGAGAACCCAAACATAGCCAAAGCAAGGTATAGCGAGCCGTTCCTTTGCGACCCGAAATGATCTGTTTAGACCACCTCCAATGACTCCGTTTGTGCCTGCTCAGTTCTGAGAGTAAGTTCACCTCAGTCCGCCCTAGTTTCCACAGCTAGGCCACCTGCTTTGGACTGGGGTGGTCATAAATGATCTATACATCATCATACATCCTGCATATTGGATTCTTTTTTTCTGACCAGGTCATCTGGCCATGTATACATCCTGGACTGGTACTTCTTTTGTTCTCCCCGCCTCAAATCCCCATGACTTGCCCCATGGGCACTGCTCGTGTTCGACCAGCGGCTCCGGAGCTGCCAAGCCGATTCGGAACGGAGGAAGTCGGTCCTCGCTTCTGGAAGTGGTCGAAGACACCAGGATTAGTACAATGACTGTATAGTGGATTAGCTGCGACCAACTCGATTGAAATAGAGGTGTACATAAGGTCTGGGATTATACAGTCGCAGGTCTTAGCTCATATGTTCACACATCGGACACGTGGATATCCCAGACCGGCCCAGACCTTCATACCCCGGTTCTCGGTAGAACCGAGACAATGGAACCTCTGGGATCCTCTGGGTATCGACAAACGGCCACGGAATCCTTGGCCCAACTGCGCTAAAGCATGAGTAACATCCTCAGGGCCTCCAAGCCTGGCAAGGATGTTTTTAGCCTAACACCTCCTTGTCTCTCAACTCTTGGAATGGCATTCATCGGATGTGTTTCCAGTTGTCTTTAGCTTGCGAAATCTGCTTGGTTCGTGCTGCCCAAGTAGTGTCCGTTCTCATTGTTCTTTCTTCTAGAGAAGTGGCCCTCATGTCTGATGGCGAGATCCATTTTACTCTAAAACATTTCTTAACCCAGCTCTTTCAGCCCAGAAAACCACGAAAGCGACGCCTTTGCACCCATTTTTCATCCCACTTCTGCTTTGGATCCGACATCGGGCCGGGTTCCCCGTGCCTTCGGTGTGCTCCGACGTGTTCGAAGTGTTGGAATTATCGCGATGGTCTTCAGCTCAAGAACGTACACTTCACGGAAGAAGAGGATGAAGCCTTGCTCCGTGGGCAGGGCAGCCCATTCGTCTTCCTCAAGATGTGTGGGTGGAATAGTTTATCACCCTACTCTCCAAAATGACGCACTCATCACCTACTGCGCGAACTTGGGGTGTTGGTATTGAGCCATAATATGAATATCATGAACCTCCGTTTCCTCACTACTAACGAAGTCCACAAGTGGTGGAAGCAGGAAAAGACATGTGGTGAACGGAACCCCTCGTTGATCCATGGACGTGCGCACGAGTATTGGCTTTTGAATGGTTTTGAGGGTTCTAGGAGGCGCAGGATCTCTCCCGGTTCGGCACCAGCAACTGGTTCTCAGTTGCTGCTGGATCTCTCCCAGCTCGCACTGAGGGTAAGGCTCTGGGCCGAGGAAAATGGAAAGGACTTCCAGGAGGTGTCTGAGGACTCAGTGGGGAGGAGGAGGTCACTCGACATCACAGGGTGGAGACTCGACACCACAGGGTGGAGACTCGACACCACTCGATTCCTTGTGAAGTTTCCTTAGAAAACAAGCTAGACAGGGCCCCCCCAGCTTGTGGTTGACCACCATTGAGTCATTGGTCCTGCAGGGTTCGATCTCATCATGGGGAGGTGAATAATGCCTCGACCTGCAGCTGAAGGTTTTGGCTGCTCATCACAAGGAAATGCTGCATCGGCTCATGCAAAGTGTGAACCAGAACTGCGGCTTCGCACACCTCGCCGCATACTTCGGCAATACTTTGAACACGGGGCGGCCCACCGGCAACACCATATTATGATACAGGAGGTGTTTGTTTTTTGACTGGCCAGCTGCCTGTCCAAGATTGGCCAGAATACTCCTGACAGCACCGCTTCGGACGTGGGCCAGAGAACCCCCTCGGACGGATGCCATATGGGGCATGAGGTCTCCGTTTTCGGTTCAACTCCGACCTTCGCCGCATCCGAAGTGCCAATTGGGTTCCTGGAGACTCAAGGCGACTCTTGGGTCGCTCGGTCCTCGGTGGCCTCGGTGCCGTCGGCTTTGGTCGAACACCGAAAAGGTGTGACCAACTCAAGACGGAGACTCCTAAGAGTGTGGGTCCCCAGGGATCTCTGTAACCGGAACTGCGTTCTCATTTGACCGAAAACGGAGTCATACCGCAGTCAGAAACGAGTGGACGGTGGGATCCGACCCAGAGTGAGACCTCAGAAGATGAAAAGAGGGTAAGGACGCTACTAGGGGCTCCTGGCCTTACTGCTAGGAACAAGAAGCTACTAGGGGCTCCTGGCCTTACTACTAGGAACAAGAACCCCTGGCCTTACTACTAGGAACAAGAAGCTACCAGGGGCCCCTGCCTGGCCTTACTACTAGGAACAAGAAGCTACTAGGGGCTCCTGGCCTTACTACTAGGAACAGGAAGCTACTAGGGGCTCCTGGCCTTACTACTAGAAACAAGAAGCTACTAGGGGCTCCTGGCCTTATTACTAGGAACAAGAAGCTACTAGGGGCTCCTGGCCTTACTACTAGGA